ACCACACACACACACACACACACACACACACACACACACACACACACAGTGTTAATGCAGCCAAATGTTAGCAGACTAACCTGAGGAGAGGTGTGCAAAGCCCAGCAGATGGTCAGCAAAGCGGCAGAGAGCCTGCTGCCTTCTGCGTGGTCACTCCAGAGAACAATGTAAGGAGGGAGCCCCTGTGACGCCTAAAGAAAGGGTCCTAGAGTGGGTGTCCTATGTCACATATACTGGGGGAGGGGTGTCTGTGCATATCTAAGGATATAAAGGGCATGTGCAGATTAGGATGGACTTGAAGACATCACTGTTCAACCTGATCACAGAGGCATAGCAACACTGGCTATGTGTTGTTGTTGTTGTTTTCTGAGAGATGTGAGAAAGGTTGAAGGGAAGGGGAGACAATATGATCACCTAATGTGATGACTTCCATGTTCCCCACAAATAACACTGGTGTGTAAGACATGTCTGAAACTAAAATTTCACAAAATGCTACCTACTAAGCCTTGATAAAGAAACATTTTGAACAACGCTGAAGTCAAATCTGACTGCAAGGAGCTGAGGAGGTGGCCTGCGGGGTAAAGTGCCTGCCACATAAGCATGAGGACCTGAGTTTGATTCCCAGCCCCTGTGTAAGAATGTTGGGTGTGGTGGTGCACACCTGTGATTCCAATGCAGGGGTGAGGCTTCCCTGAGGCTCTCTGGCCAGCCAGCCTACCCTAACTGACAAGCTCCAGGTTCAGCAAGAGATTCTGTTCAAAAAGTAAGGCAGAGAGACTGAGAGAGACGCCCCAAGTCAACTGGCCTCCACACACATGGACCATCCACCCAAACAGAGATACAAATAAACTGGGAACATTTGAAAACAAGACTCGGAAAAAAGTTCAACTCAACAGCACCTTTCCCTCCCACCAGGTAAGTCATTCTGAACCAAAACAAAAACTTTCAGCTAGAACTGTCGCTGGCCAGTTTGATTTTTTTTTACCTTCCACTAATGGGTGGCAACTCCCAAAGCTACCGCCATTATCAGTGCCAGGTGTCTGAGGTCAGTACCTCTCATTTAACACCCACAGAGCGTATCTGAGCATGCTCACGGCTCCATTTCACAGATGAAGACACAAAGAGCTCTTTAAGTGACCAGGAGGACGCCTTCCCTGGGGCCGACTGGGCAGATGTGGCGGACACCATTTTCATTGCTCTCTGGCTTCTGTGACAGGATGGGGTAGCAGCGCTCTTGCCCAGGGGCCAAAGGGAGTGTCCTGCGGCTGGCTGGAGGCCCGGGTTCTCTGAGGGCAGAGTCCGTCCCTGAGGATGGTGGTGGCTTCCTGGGCCTCAGCCTCTCCGTGCTCCTGTTTCTGTGGGCGGTGTCCACACTGGCTTTGCTCACCCAGCCTGGAGACCATCTAGGTAGGAAGGAGCTCTGCAGTAGCTGCTAGAGTTTGGTTTCTTGCTGGTTCTGGTCTCTGCTCACCTCTGCTTCATTTTTCAGTCAGCAAGTCTGTAACACTGCAGGCGTGACCTTGCTACTGCAAACATTCAAGGCTGACATGGAGCCTTAATTTCTCTAGAGGTGCCTCTTCGGGGGTCTTAGAGGAATAGGCCCCCCTCCATGGGTCCCATTTTATTTTTGAGGACTGTGATATAAGCCATGACAGGGGAGTTCTCGCTGAGATTTCACGCAACTTCTCAAGGGAGGCCAAGCCTGTCGGGGGGAAGCAGAGCTGAGGGCTCCTTGCCTTCCATGGTACCCCCAACCCAAGACATATACTTTTGCATGTATTTTACATCCAGGGATGCACTAGAGAAGGGTGGAAAGGGGGAAGGGCATCTGCTGCTCCTACATCTGTCAGCTTTCCGTCACTACGACCAAACTCCTGAGGTAAATTTACAGGAAGAAAGGTTGAGGGAAGCTCATGGTTTCAGAGGTCTTGCTCCATTCTGGCTTAGCCCTGTTGCTTCAAACTTCTCTGTGGTGACTTATGCATCTTGGTGCAAGCACGTGGAATAGGAGGCATGCTGCCCTCGGCAGCTAGGAAGCCAAAGGAAAACAGTCTCGAGGTGACTATGATCCCAGGGTCCCTTTCAAGGCCAGCTCTCCCTCCCCGCCCCCACCCCCATGACCTAACTTCCTGGTACTAGGTTCAACCTCCTAAGGATAGCAGCCAAACCTGTAGCACAGGGGTCTTTCTCATGAGTCTGACTGGGACTCCTCAGAGTCACAACTACAATGTCCGTTATGAGGTCACCTAGAGCCTTCACTCAGCAGGAGTGGGGTGGGCTGGAATTGGAGTTCCTAACAGCTCTCCAGATGATGATGCTGGGCCTCATATTCCTCTTGGAGAACCCCAGATCTAAGTTTCCAAGTGACACATTTGGAGGGCTGACTGGCCTGAAGCCTAATCAATCAGAGGAGCTCTGTGGGCTTCTGGAAGATAGCAGACCACTGTGGTGATATTTTATTTGTGCTCTAATAAACTCATCTGGGCATCAGAGGACCGAGCCAGCCACTAGATTAGACATAGAGGCAAGACAGTGGTGGCACACACTCTTAATCCTATCACTCAGGAGGCAGAAATCCATCTGGATCTCTGTAAGTTCAAGGCCACACTGGAAACAGAGTCAGGCATGGTGGCACACACCTTTAATCCCAGCCCTTGAGATCTCATGCCTTTGCTACTAGTATTTGGGAAGAGCATATGCCTTTAATCCCAGCACTAGGAAGGAAGAAAGATGGCAGGGAACAGAAAGGTATATAAGGTGTGAGTAAACAGGAAGTCTCGCCCTGGAGGCTGAGGAGTTGATAAGGTGAGGTTGGCTGTGGCTTGTTCTGTTTCTCTGATCTTTCAGCATTCATTCCAATATCTGGCTCTGGGATTTTATTAATAAGAAGACTGTTTAGCAATTCGTGTTACAGACCACCAGGGTCAAGGTCACCATTCAGATGTGCTTTCATCTACTACCCAGTACCTCTTTCCTTTCCTTTCTTATGTGTGTACGTGTGTGTGTGTGTGTGTGTGTGTGTGTGACAGTGTGTGCATGTATGTGTACAGGCATGTGCATCTATGTGTACAGGTGCATGCATGTGTGTGCAGGTATGTGCGTGTCTGTGTATAGGTGTGTGCATGCATGCCAGAAGTCTACCTCATGCCATTCCTCAGGTGCTGTCTACCTTGATTTATTTTTGTTTGGTTCTTCCTCTTGTTGAGACCGGGTACTAAAATCTTGCCAAGCAGACTAGGCTGGCTAGTCAGAGAGCGGCAGGCATGGTGCTGTCTCCCCTCCCCAGGGCTGGGATCACAAGCGCTCACCACACCTGGCTCCCCAGGGCTGGGATCACAAGTGCTCACCACACCTGGCTTTAAATGTGTTCTGGGAACCCAATGCAACCATAATGCTCACACTTTATCCACTGAGCCATCTCCCCAGACACCCAGTATCTCTTTTCTTTTCCTGAGGTTTGCGCCCTCTGTCCCTGCCTCCCATCTGCCATGCTCACCCCGCCCCCCAATATCCCCAAATATAAGAAAGAGAGCTGACTATGAGGCCGAGGAGCCAGCCAGGAAGCACCCTTCCTCCATGGTTCCCACCGCTGCCTCTGCTTCTTAAGTTTCTGCCCTGACTTCCCTCGGTGATGAACTGTGATGGGAGCACAAGCCAAATAAAGCCTTTCCTCTCCAAGCTGCCTTTGGTCCTGGTGTTTACCACAGCAACAGAGAGCTAACTACGTCCCAGTTTGCTTCCCCAGGGGCCACTGGGAAATTGCTTCCTGAAGAGGGAGTTGGACAAAAAAGGTGGAATCCTGCATGGGTAGTCACCTCACATGCAGTTTGTCACCTTGTCAGTGACCTCTCTAGCAGTGTCCTGTGAGCCTCGCTTCCTGGGGATCACATGCTTTCACAAGGATTCCATCACCTCACAAGGAACACAAGCCAGGAGAGGTGATCCTTCAGGGGGCGTTCCAGCTGAATCAAGGTTCCATCATGGCCCCCTCCAGTATGGGTGGGTTCTAACAGGCTGAGCACTACATGTCAATATTCCCTGGATGGAAAAGAATGAGCACAGGCTGCAGACATCTATTAACTTGAGTCAATCACATGTTAGGATTGGTTAGTTCTGGGCAAGACCTTTGATAATTTAGATTAACTATAATTGTATAGCATCTTTTGTTTACACTGAGTCTATTTTAAAAGCCATCTTATCCCCAAAGGAATAAAGATAACTTCTCCTCCTCTCCATTCTCCTTTTTTTTTTTTGAGGCAGAATCTCAATATGCAATCTAAACTAGCACCAAACTCAGAGTGATCTTCCTGCTTCAGCCTCCCAAGTGCCACCATACCTAGTTAATAAAGATAACTACAATCCTACAATCATCATTGAATTGTCCTAAGAGTGTATAATTTTGCCTTTTGTAGTTGTACACAAGAGCTTTGTAATTTTGTTTGGCTTCCTAACTATCAGAGAGCATCATCCCAGTGTTCTCAAGCCTAAAGAGCAAGTGTTCTTGCTGGGAAAACTGATAAGATATCCTGTTTTCTCTGGATATGCTTTTTAACTGCCACAATCAAACCCAATACAGTTAACTAAGAATCACTAAAAGGCTTTGCTTGGTGTATGAATGAGCTCCCCCAACACAATGTGTGTGTATACATTGTGTGTGTGTGTGTGTGTGTGTGTGTGTGTGCTTTGTGAAGTGATTCTGCTGTGAACACATGTTACATTTTGTAGTGGTTTGAATAAAAATGGTCCCCATAGGTCTGTAGGGAGTGGCACTATTAGGAGGCGTGGCTTTGTTGGAGGAAGTGCATCATTGGGGGTGGGCTTTGATGTCTCAGAAGCTCAAGCTGGGCCCAGTGGCTCACTCAGATGTAGAACTCTCAGCTCCTATTCCAGCACCATGTCTGCCTGCCTGCCACCATGTCCCACCATGACAATAATAGACCAAACCTTTCAAGCTGTAAGCCAACCCCAATTAAATATTTTCCGTTATAAGAGTTGCTGTGGTGCTTGCTTCGGCAGCACATATACTAAAACTGGAGTGATACAGAGAAGATAGCATGGCCCCTGCACGAGGAAGACACACAAATTCGTGAGGCGTTCCATACTTTTTCTATGAGCAAGAGCATCAAGATCATGATGGGGAAACCTATAGAGACAACCAAACCAAACTAGTGGGAACTCATGAAATTTGGATCAACAGCTGTGGAGCCTGCATGGGACTGGACTAGGCCCGCTGCATAGTGAGACAGTTGTGTAGCTTGATCTGCTTGCCCCACCCCCGCCCCTGCCCGGCAGTGGGATCGGAGTTCATCCCTTGTGCATGAGCAGGCTTTTTGGAGCCCACTACCTATGATGGGATATTACACACAGCCTTGAGGCAGGGGAGGGGCTTGGACCTGCCTCTACTAAATGTACCTCCCCATGGGAGGCCTTACCTTCTTGCAGGAGGGAATGGGGAGTGGGTTGGGATGGGGAGGCTGAAGGGGCAGGAGGAGGGAAGAGGGGGATCTTTGATTGGTATGTAAAATGAATGAAAAATTTTTCTTAATTAAAAAAAAAAAAGAGGCCAGGCAGTGGTGGCACACGCCTTTAATCCCAGCACTCAGGAGGCAGAGCCAAGCGGATCTCTGTGAGTTCGAGGCCAGCCTGGGCTACCAAGTGAGTTCCAGGAAAGGTGCAAAACTACACAGAGAAACCCTGTCTCAAAGAGAGAGAGAGAGAGAGAGAGAGAGAGAGAGAGAGAGAGAGAAAGGTTGCTGTGGTCATGGTGTCTCTTCACAGCAATAGAAACCCTAACTAAGATAGAAGTTGGTACCAGGGACTAGAATATTGCTGTGATAGGCCTGACCATGCTTTTGTTTGGAGGAATGTGGACTTTAGGACGGTGGATCAGAAAAGCAGTTAAACACTTTAAGTGGGGCTTAAAGGGCCAGACTAGTAAGAACATAGAAGACAGTGATGCTGAAGGTGATTTGAACTGTGGGGGCCTGACTCAAGTAGTTTCAAAGGAAAAGAATATTTGCATGTAGCCTAGAGACTGTTCTTATGATATTTTGGCTAAGAATATGGTTACATTTTGTCCTTTTCCAAAAAATCTGCTTGTGACTAAATTGAAGAATTTTGGATTTATTGTGTTAGCAGAGGAACTTTCAAAACAGCCTAGGATAGATTGTGTCATGTGATCATTAGTGTTCACTCTTAATGAAAAGGAAAAAGCTGGGAAAGGAAAAACACAAAATGTACAGTTTGAGGAGAAAAGGGGCACCAGGAAGTGAAATGGAGCTAAGTCCTGTGCTCAAGGAGATAAACAGATTAAGAAATGGAATAAAGGGAATAGTGACCTCAGGGCAAGACCCCACACAGCTAACCTTCCAACTTGTGAAAAGGAATTAAAGCAAAGCTTAAATCCCGGTGTGATGGCACATGCCTTTAGTCCCAGCACTCTGGGGACAGAGTCTGGTGGATCTCTAAGTTTGAGACCAGCCTGGTCTACAGATCAAGTTTTAGAACAACCAAGCTTAGGCAGTGAAGGAAACACTTGAAAACAGAAGGTTGTTGAAAATTTAATTGAATGAGGGGTCCGGGTTCTAGCCCTAGAAAGTAGTAGAACTTGGCATCTTCAGTCATGTGGTTCTGGCTTTAGAGTCAAAGACAGAAGGAAGGGTTTATGGAATCTCCCTCTGTGACTAAGGAAAGCTGCCGAGGCCAGGCAAGTGTCAGGGGTGTCCCTGAATGGAGGCCTAGAGAGGCCTTTGTGTGAAGCTGAAAGTGAAGCCTGAACTGCCTTGGAGACCCCAACATGTGGGAGATGCCAGAGCCATGGAATACCTGCTGAGGAAAGCTGCTAACAGGGAGTGGAACCAGCCCAAAAGAAAGAAGTGTGTTGCTGTCAACAAAGCTGAAAGGAGTTGGAGATCTGAAGAGCATTTTTGACATCAGACATGGAGATGCAGAGTTTGGAGTTTGCCCAGCTGATTTTCTGTCTTGCATTGGTCCAGTATTTCCACACTGTGTTCCCTTTCCTGCATTTTGGAAAGGTAATGTATATCCTGTGCTATTATATGTTGGAAGTACATGACTTTTTTATTTTGATTTTATAGGGGATTACAGTTAAGAGATTGTATGAGTCTCAGAAGAGACTTTGAACTTTGGACTTTTAAACAATGCTGATACTGTAATAGACTATGGGGACTTTTGTAGTTGGAGTAAATGCATTTTGCATTGTGATATGTCTACAAGCCTATGGGGGGTCAGGGAGTAGAATGTGGTGAATACATAACATGTTTGAATAAAAATGTGTCTGTAGGGAATGGCACTATTAGGAGGTATGGCCTTGTTGGAGTAGGTGTGGCTTTGTTGGAGAAAGTACATCATTGGGGGTAGGTTTTGAGGTCTCAGAAGCTCAAGCCAGGCCTAATGGCTCACTCAAATGTAGAACTCTTTTCCAGCACCATGTTTGTCTGTGTGCTAGCATGCTTCTCATCAGGACAATAATGAATTAAACCTCTCAAACTGTAAGTCAGCCCCAATTAAATGGTTTCCTTTATGAGAGTTGCCATGGGCATGGTGTCTCTTCACAGCAATAGAAACCCTAAGACCAATTTGAAGTTTCTTAGTTTTTCTGCTGGTAGGGGGTGCTCATCCTTGTCATACCAACATGCCTCCCATTCTGTGGCTTGGTTACAATGTCACTGGGTGATAAAGTCAGTCTTTCGTATCTCACCAGACAACATGATCTATGTCCCAATGAGCCTTGTACATTACTTCCAGAGGGCACATGAATAATTCCTCTCATGAATAACAGGGTAAAAATGTCCTGACACCAAAAGCACACAATGTCACCTGCCCTGGGAAAGTTGCTCTAATGTAAAAACATTTCTGGGATTCCATGTATCCTAATGCAAAGTGGGGAGAGGGCCCTGCTCCTGTCCATTCGTGGCTCTAGAAAGCAGTAGGCAGCATGCCTAGAAATGACATCACTGTGTGTCGATAAAAATTTATTTAGAGTCATCAAATTTTCTGTTCTACACAATTTCCATGAAGGAGTGCTATAATCTGATTTTCTTTTATTTTTTTCCTTCTTTCTGTTTTTATACCAACGTCACAGTGGTGGAAAAGTGTAATGGCCCAGTCACTTCCCTGAGTGGAGTGATCTCTCCGTGGCTTTTTTTCTGGGATCAGTAGCTCTACTTCCTTGCACAGGATTCTTTTAGTGAAATGAGATTTGTTTTCATTTTTTGTTTTGTTTGTATATGTGTGGGTTTTGTTTTGAGGTGAACTCTTGATGTATCATGCAGGCTATCCTCCAACCTCAGCCTTTATTTTTTTATTTATTTATTTATTTATTTTGGTTTTTCGAGACAGGGTTTCTCTGTGTAGCTTTGCGCCTTTCCTGGAGCTCACTTGGTAGTCCAGGCTGGCCTCGAACTCACAGAGATCCACCTGGCTCTGCCTCCCGAGTGCTGGGATTAAAGGCGTGCGCCACCACCGCCCGGCCAAACCTCAGCCTTTCAAGTGCTGGAATTATAGACATGCACCACCCCACCCAGATCTACTAAAGTTTTGTATAGTAGTGAAACTCATGAAGGCTCAGAGCCTCCCTCCACAGGGGACTGGTTAAACAGATTTGGCATAATGAAATAATAGATGTCCATTCTTATAAAGACTTTTGTTTAATCTTCCGTGTACTCAAAGGTGCAAGAATTCAAGATACAATGCTAAGTGAAAAAGAAAAAGATAGAGAAACATACTATGCCCAGAGTTGTGGGAAAAATGTACAGATAGATTCCCATCTTCTGATCTACATTAAAATATCTGGAAAGAGACACAAAAAAGTTGACTGTGATTGCCAATTCTGTATTTTTGTGGTTTTTTTTTTTTTTTTTTTTTTTGAGAATCTGATCTATCTAGGTTGTGATAGGAGGGAGAATTTTAGCTGTATAATTTTAAATATGCATAATCTCTTAGTTATGTAAGTGTGTTTATTACCTAATCAAAATGTAAAGGTAAAAAAAACTAGATAATGTCTCTGACATACATAAAACTCCAAATTATTCAGAATATGGTCTTAACTATACATTATTTTAAAAGATTAAATTGTGTCCTAAGCATACACACACACACACACACACACACACACACAATCTTGAATGTCACAAATTCCAGAAAGGTCTAAAATCTCATTAAAATCTGAGACACATTTGATGAGTGGATAAAGAAAAATGTGGTCTGTGCTCACAATGGAGCATGGTTCAGCCATAAAAGGATGATAATCCATCACTGGAGACAGATTAGATCGAATGGGAGGACCTTGGGTTAAGTAACATAAGCCAGGCACAGAAAGACAAATAGGGCATGATCTCACTGCATGTAGAATCTGAGAGTTGATGTCATAGGAGAGCCTGGGAGAATGATCATCAGAGGCTGGGGAGTGAGGGGAAACTGGACAATACACGCAGACTTACAGTGAGATAGGTGTAAGGCAAGCTGCTAACTGCTGCAGTGGAGGGGTAACAATTATATTAAATACATATCTGCATCCATAGTGTAAGCTATGAGAACGTCTTGAGAGATTTGACCGTAAAATGTCTAAAGAGATCAATAGATTTACTGTGACTTGACCAATACATGATCTTCTTAGACAGATTTGAACATTATGTAATACACATGTATCAAAAGAGCACATAGTACTCCATAAATGTTCACAGTTCTAACTTGTTGATTAAAAGTTGGAGGTTTGCAAGTCACCACCATGTTGAGATTCCATGTCACACCCACTCAATTGGAAACAACTGCAAAACTTACTACTGCTGGGGAAGGTACGGGCCTCTCATAAGCAAACTGCTGCAGAGAGACAGTGCATGCAGAATCCCTTCCTTAATCTGCCTTTGGTAACTGTGTGTGCAAGGTACTCACAGGGGCTGTGGACATAGGCCAACTGGTAAAACTCTTCCCTTGAGAGTGTGAGGAGCTGAGTTTGATATGCAGAACTTACTTTATGAAGCCAGATAAGGTGATGTGTGCAGTTCTGGAGGGGCTCCTGGCCACCAGCCTTGCCAACTGGTGAGCTCCTGGATCAGTGAGTGAGCTTGTTTCAAAAGTAAAGGAAC